TTATGAATTTTGAAAATTCCAAAATCAATTTAAAGCAATGAACTAACACAGCAATAAAGACCATAAAAAGAAATCCTGAGCCAGTGTGGTTTAGTGGCTGGAATGTTGGACTGGAATTTGGGGAGGCCCAGGTTCAAGTGCCTGCTCTGCCATGGAAATTTGCTGGGTGAAGAAGAAAAGAGATTGGATTTATACCCTGCCAAAGGAGACACTGAGCAGTTTACAATCCCTTTCCCTTCCCCTCCCCACAAGAGACACCCTGTGAGCTAGGTGGGGCTGCGAAAGCTCTCTGGAGAACTGCCCTTGAGAGAACAGCTCTGAAAGAACTTATGACTGACCCAAGGTCACACCAGCAGCTGCATGTGGAGGAGTGGGGAAATCAAACCCAGTTCTCCCAGATTAGGGTCCACGCTCTTAACCACTACACCAAACTGGCTCTGGAGTTTGGTCAGTCACAGACTTTCAGCCTAAGCTGCCTCACAGGGTTGTTGTGGGGGTGAAATGGAAAAGGTTAGAAGGTTGCAAACCAATTTAGCTCTCCATTGAGGAAAAAAGTGGGGTATGAAGCAAGTAAATAAATAATTATTAGAAACTAGGTGCAGCGCAAGAAAACCAACAGCAGCCAGCCATTTAAACAAAGCTGGAGATCAGCAGAAGTTTCAACCTGCCTCTGAAAAGACAGCAATAGATCTCAGATCTGTCAGGGAAAGTGATTCCCTATTTGGATAACCACCACTCAAAAGCCTGTCTCCTTGGTTGCTATCTGGCTCTTCTCCAAAGCCAGGGGCATCAGGAGATGTCCTCCTTTCTGTGCAGATCTCAACCTTTAGGCAGACATACATAGAAGGCAGTCCTTTTGTTTACAAGGGAACCAGCGCAGAAGGCACAGGAAGGGTTACCCACCAAGCCAACCCCAACTCTCTAACCAGATCTGACAGGTCCCTAAAGGCATGAAAAGGGGGGGGGGAAGGGGCTGCGAACACCTGGGTGGCTGCAATGAAGCAGCCAACACAGTCAATGGGCTTCACTGCACATGGCACAATTATCTTATGGGATTCTTCATCACAGGAGCGGGTGACAGCTGCCAGTTAAAACTGGCTTTTGAAGAGGGGTAGACAGATTTGTGGAGGAGAGAGCTAATGGTGGTTAAATGGCCCCTCCAGTTTCAGAGGCGGTGTACCTCTGCATACCAGTTCCTGGAGGTTACCCAGGGAGGTTTTGACTTCCCTGCCTTGCTTTTGGGGCATCTGGCAGGCCACCACTGTGGGAAACAAGGTGCTGGACCAGAAGGCCCTTGGGTCCCACCCAGCAAGACTTTCCTTACTTGATGCATGACCAATGGCCTGTTTGGCTTGGGGGAGTCCTATAATGCTCATTTCAGCTGTAAGAGTGGCCCCAATCCCTTTCCTTTGAACACATCCATCATGGCTTTCCCACAGATCTTGGGAGAGGCTGAGAATTCTTTCATGAGCAAATCCCCTGCACTGAACTCTTTGGCGAGTCTGCAGTGGGAGAGAGTTCCACATTCCCCAGGAGCACCTCCTTTGCTGGGTCATTACTTGACATACAGTTGACTGCATTAATGGGACACCCCCTAATGGATCTGGGACTGTTCCAGGGCACAGAGGAGCAGAGGCAGCAGCGGACTCTCAGGTATGCCAGGCCTAAAGCTTTGCATAGTTTGGAAGCAGCATCTCAAATTGCATCAGGCCCCTGAGCATAGGCAGACCACTTTCTCCTCCCCACTGACTAATTGCAGCCCACCCATCTGGGCCTCCAAGCAAAAGCTTTATGTGCTCCGCAGACATTAACACATGATAATTTGGTTGCCCTAGTTTGTGAATGAGGAAGGGGGAGGGCGGGAGGGGTGCGGCATTTTTCCATTTGAGATCAAAGCTCATCAGCAGAGCTGTCTGTCTTTGAGAAGCAGAACTGCGTGGCTGCCGAGGCGGTCGCCTCTAAGAAAAGTATGTAGTTAGAACTGCAGCCAATGGCATGGCATGGGCACCGTTTATGCATTGGTGCGTGGACTGGATTTCTGGGCAGTGGAGGGGGTCAGTAGGGTTATCCCATCCTGCCAGAGGCCTCCTTCCCCCTCCAGGGCCCCAGAACCTGTTTTGAAAGCCACACCTCAGTTCTCCAAAACACAGAAAGCAATAAAGCCTAACAGAGTTTTCCTGAGCATGTGCAAAGTGTCTGTCTCTCTCCTAATGACTGCCGTCTTTTGCCAAACTGTTCCAGCTTCCCAGTGAGAGGGTGTGGCTTGCAACCAGGACTGAATGGCTTGCAGCTTGAGTGGCTTGCTCGTGCCCTCTTTTTTGAGCGGTGTTCTTCTGCAACATGATTCCTTATCATTTGAGGGCTGCTGGAGAGAAGCTGGTGGGTAGGATTTGGTGGCCTTTTGTATGCAGCTAGTCCTCCAGATACCTTAATCCTAACCTTGTTGGTCCAGGACCAGAACTGTTTCTTTGGTTGCAGAAGGTCTTGGATTCAAATCCTACATAAGCTTATGTCTGGCCAAAGGGGAGGATACCCTTAAAAGTCTTGACAGTCAGTGCAAGCCAGTGGCCAAGAGTTTAGCAATCCCTGGTTTGAATTTCACCACAGCTAGGGACTTTCTGGTGGAACTATCCAGCAAATTAGTGACAAATCAAACCTGTTAAAGGTTGGGGCTTTATCACAACAAAGTACCATTGGCAGCATCGGAATACAGTTCCCCTGGAACAAATGGCTGCCTTGGACTCTGTGGTATCAGCCCATACTGAGCCCCCTCCCCAAACCCCACTTTCTCCCAAGGCTCCATCCCCAAATCTCCAGGAATTTCCCGACTGGGAACTAGCAACCCTATTAACAAAGTTCCATTCTATTCCGGGGTGGGGGGTGTTGCAGCTTTATCCTGCATGTTTTGTCAGCGGTAAGACCCACCAGATTCAATGGGGGTTATTTCCATGTAAACCTGCAAGCATCTGCAGTCCTAGTTGCACCGAACGCTGGTCTAAAGCAAACCATTTTCCTGTGGGCCTCGGTTTCTCATCTGCAAGTCGGAAATGACAGTCCTGGCCTTCCTTAAAGGTTGTGGGAAAGGTCTTCCCACAGCTCCAGGCTGCCTTCTCCCTCTCAGCTTTACCTCACAGAGCTGTTGTGAGGCTAAAAGGGAAAAGCCGAGAACCCCCTCTGCCAGCTGTGGTGAAGTGGTTAAGAGTGGCGGACTCTAATTTGGAGAACCGGGGTTTGATTCCCCACTCCTCCATATGAAGCCAGGTGGGTGACCTCGGGCCAGTCACAGTGCTCTCAGAGGTCTCTCAGCCCCACTTACCTCACAGGGGGGTCTGTTGCGGGGAGAGGAAGGGAAGGCGGTTGTAAAGCCCCTCTGAGACTCCTTCAGGTAGAGAAAAGTGGGGTATAAAAACCAACTCTTCTTCTCATGGAAGAAGGGTGAGATAAATTAAATAAGATATATGCCCCGTGCAAACGAAGGGACTTAGAAAACGCCCCCCCCCCCGGACGTTTCTCTGCAGTAATGGCCAGCCCAGCGTCCTTTCTCGAGGGCTCCTCTGCCATGATGTCCGAGGAAGCTTCTGGAGGGCGAGGACTGGGGGCGGATAGCGGGGGACGCCGCCGCCGCCGCCGCCCATGCTTCGCATGCACGAAGTCACCGGTTCGAGCCCCGCGGGCGTCCCAAGTGCGAGGTTCGAGGGGGGAGGTTAAGAAAGACCCTTCGGACAGCCAATGCAATGCATACTCTGCCTATGTAAAAAAAAAAAAAAACCTTCTCCTTCCCAGAGCTGCTAACTCCGCGGTGCAGCCTCCTGCTCTGCAGGCAGAAGGTCGCGGGTTCAATCCCAGCCAGTTTCTGCAGGTTGGGGTAGTGGTGGTGAGTGTCTGCCCAAGACCCTCCACCGGTCAGCGCTTACCCGAACGGACTCTGCCTTGGGATCGGTTTGGGGAGGGCCAAGGCGAGGCTCAGCGGTGGAGAGAAGCCTCCGTCTCCCATAAACTGGGGGGG